TACTTTTGTGTACCTGGGCACGGAGTCTCACAATCAAAAGAGCTCTCAGTAGCTTCTCCAGGACAGTGTTCCCCACCCCGCTGAGGAGGAGGATTGTTGCAGCTTCTTGTTCGTGTAACTTTACTTCCTCCACATGATTTTGCACAGGGACTCCACTCTGACCATTGGGACCACTGACCATCTAACGGACTAACTGGAGAAGTATTTGTGGTGTCAGTAATCTGGATTGATGTGATATATCAAACACTCGAGACAGTGTTTCATCGGGATATCCAAACACCGAGAAGAAAGTTGAAAATACGACGCCCAGCGGAGTATTTTTGACGAAATTCGAAATGTTTGGAATTGTGGTCAAACACTGTCTCGAGTGTTTGATATATCTTATCAATTGAAACAAAAACTAAGGAGTAAATGGAGAAGTAAAATCGTCAAAATCTATGCTAATTAAGACCGGGAATCCAAACTTTCGTTACGGTTGTGATTTTCTTTGTTTTAACTTGATGAATTATTAATGAGTTTAAAAACTCTTAATAATTCAGTACCAACTTTAGACAAAGGAAATTATGACTGTGACGGTGTTTGGATATCTGATCTTAATTAGCATATTTTTACGATTTTGTTTCTCCGTTTTCTCCTTAGTTTTAGTTTCGATTGAGAAGATATATCAAACACTAAAGACAGTGTTTGACCACATTTCCAAACACCTCGAAGCTTGTCACAAATACTTTTTGGTATTTGGAAATGTCGTCAAACACGGTCTTTCGTGTTTGGTATATTACATCCCATCTCATCTCAATTATCACTTTAAGAAGTTAAAAATGCAGCTCAATTCGCAGCTATCAGTGAAAACATGTGTCGATAACTTAAAAAAGGCAACGACAATAGTTGAAGCAGTAATGAAATTGCAATGATGATAACCTCAGCGACTTACTTTCGCAAGGTTGATCACAGTCAGTCTTAGCTTCTTTAGCATCCTTTGGCTCACACGGCTTGCCTCCATTCTGGGGGGTGGGATTATCGCAGTTTCTTTCTCGTGTAACCGTAGCACCTCCACATGTTTGACTACAGGCTGACCAACTTCCCCAGGCACCCCAACCACCATCAACTGTAAAGCAAATAAATCTAAGTACAGAGGAATCCCGTTATTTCGAACTCTCGAGGGAAGTGAAAAATAGCTCGAAATAGTTCGAAATATTTCGAAATAGTAATTCGAAATTACCGAGTTCATATTAGAGGGATGCAACTGCAAATCATTTTTTAGATCTCGTGTTGTAAAAGAGTAAAACTGAGCTGGTGGAACTTTCATCGAAAACACCTCGTTTTTCTTTGGATTTGCTTCATTCTGTTTGTTTTGATTCTGAAATCCCAAGTTGTGGTATGTAAACATTCATGAATTGGGTCTCAACAAAGAGGCATCACTGGCAACTCTATTGCATAGCATTTAC